GCGATGGACATGTAGCAGAGGTGAGAAATAAGCTTTTGTGGCTTTGAAGCCAATACACTTTTGGAATTACTCATGCTTTTCTTTTTAAATAAAAAAATCAAAGCATAATCTGGACCTTCTATTTACTCTAACCACTCTATTTACTCTAATTACTATTAGTATTTAAGCATTTAAAAATTTGTTCTACTATCTAGTAAGGAAAGTTTTCGACTACCCGTTGTTAGCCATGCTTTCCTGTTTATTCCACAAGGTGAAGAATATTTTCCAAAGATCATTTTGTCTGGATACACTCTCTTCTTGTTGGCATCTTGATTAGAATTGTATTAAGCCAGTTCATTTATTCTGGAAGATCTGGCATTCAACGATACTCAGTTTTCCAACTCAGGACTGTGGTCTGTCTCTCCATTTGCTGCAGTGTCCTTTCAGCCCAGCCCCCTCACATGCCTGCCTGCTGAGCAGTGCTGTGCGGAGAAAAATAAGCAGCAATGAGAGGAAATTGAGAACAACATAGTGACTTTTATAAAGCAAAACTAATTCGTTTTAAAGAACTGTACTTTATCCTGTGATTCCCTCCCCCGCTACTCAGAGTTGAAATGGCATTTTACAAAAAAACGTATGTTAGATATATATTTTTTCTGGTTTCTAAATGCATAAGTTGATGAAATACGTTTTGGAAATTTTACTGATGGGTGAAATCTCAAAGTCTGGATTAGAATTTTCAATAGGTCTTTATTACACAGGTCACCTTTATTTTGTTAGGGATTTTGCATTGGGGTTGCTATGGTGAATGGGGTCTTTTTTTTCCCCATTATTCTATTTATATAGTTCTTTATAACATAAAGCCTTCAGTGTTATTCAACAACTATCTATTGAGCACCTTTGAACAATGCATGTTCCCTACACTGGAAGGCTCATATTCCTAACCAGGGACATAGGAAGATAGTTGATGATTACGTTGTTGTTGTATAGAGAAGCCGTCACAGAAGCAATAGAAGGGCTCTCAGCCAATGGGAGATCAGATATCTTTCCCAAGAGGTGCTGGTACTCAAACTGACAACAAGGCACCCAGAAAATGTTTTGCTGAATGACTGACTGCTGCACATTAAAACAGACTTGGTATTTTGATAACGAATTTTTGCCTCCTGTAGAATCCTAGATATGAGTAAGGGTGGTATTTGTGGAGTCTTTTTTTTTTTTTTTTGAGACGGAGTCTCGCTCTGTCGCCCACGCTGGAGTGCAGTGGCGCGATCTCTGCTCACTGCAAGCTCCGCCGCCTCCCAGGTTCACGCCATTCTCCTGCTCAGCCTCCCTAGAAGCTGGGACTACAGGCACCCACCACCACGCCCGGCTAATTTTTTTGTATTTTCAGTAGAGACGGGGTTTCACCGTGTTCGCCAGGATGGTCTTGATCTCCTGACCTCGTGATCCACCCGCCTCGGCTTCCCAAAGTGCTGGGATTACAGGCATGAGCCACCGCGCCTGGCCTGTGGAGTCTTTTTTAATGAAGGCACAGATCCCCTAATTCCTTTCTGCCTTCCATTCACAAATTACCAAATTGCAAAGAATATCTCTTTACCATCAATTTCTTTCTACTTCAACTTTGGGCCAGACTCAAAACATTTATAATTGCTAGGATAGAAAAAGTGTTGCTATTTTTGTGGTCTGGGACTAAGACATATCTTCATGTACCTTTTTTTTTTTTTTTTTCCTTGAGACTGAGTTTCGCTCTTGTTGCCCAGGCTGGAGTGCAATGGCACAATCTCGGCTCACTGCAACCTCTGCTTCCCGGTTCAAGCGATTCTCCTGCCTCAGCCTCCCCAGTAGCTGGGATTACAGGCATGTGCCACCACGCCCAGCTAATTTTGTATTTTTAGTAGAGATAGGGTTTCTCCGTGTTGGTCTGGCTGGTCTCGAACTCCTGACCTCAGGTTATCTGCCCGCCTCGGCCTCCCAAAGTGTTGGGATTACAGGTGTGAGCCACTATGCCTGGCCCATATACTTTTTAAATGTAGAAAATTAGGCTGCATTCCCCAACGTGGGACAAAAGAATGGAGAAAAATAACACGAGAAGCCAATCTGTGTTGTGCTGCTTTCTGCCTAAACATTTCTCTGCTACTTGCCCTCCCTGGGCCAGTCTTTTTTCTTTTTTTGAGACAGAGTCTTGCTCTGCCGCCCAGGCTGGAGTGCAGTGGTGCGATCTCAGCTCACTGCAAACTCTGCTCGCAGGTTCACGCCATTCTCCTGCCTCAGCCTCCCAAGTAGCTGGGACTACAGGCGCCTGCCACCATGCACGGCTAACTTTTTTTGCATTTTTAGTAGAGACGGGGTTTCACCGTGTTAGCCAGGATGGTCTCGATCTCCTGACCTCGTGATCCGTCTCTGGGTCAGTCTCTTAATGGCCTTGATTACCTTCTGTTCATTAAATACTCCAAAACCCTATTTTCAACTGCTCACTGGACATATTTCAACCTGGACAAATTTCTTGGTCATTTTTCAAGACCCACCTCCTCAGTTGCCAACCATGCCAGTCACTCCATGACCCTCTAAGAACCCCATCCACACCTTGGGACACTGTGGTCATTGTTTGGGTGGCTGTTTTCCCCACTAAGTCATGAGGTCATAGAGGGCAAAGGCCAAGCTTTCTTCTTTTGTATTTACAATTATAACCAACGGAAAATGTTTCTTTGAACAATCAGCTAAGGTTACATCTGTCAACATTTTCTTCCTTTAAAAATATTAATTTAGGCAATGCTTTCTGAACTTCTCAGCAGGAAAGGGCCCTATTAAGATTCCAATGTGACTGTCTTATTTTATATGGAGGAAGTGGCCAGTGGGGAGAGTTCTGAACCTTGTAACCCCAGAAGCTTAATGCCCTTGATCACTACTAGCTTGATTGTCAGCATAAAGACATAGTAAAGGACCTAGAATAATTTTGCAATATGACCTTTTTGAGAAAATTTTAAAAGACAAAATAATTTGGCCCAATGTAGGTAAAATGTATCAAGCTGCCTTCCATTCACAAATTACAAAGAAAGTATCTCTTTACCATCAATTTCTTTCTACTTCAATTTTTGGCCATTTATAATTGCTAGGATAGAAAAATATGCATCCACATATGCATATGTAGTACGTATGCACACACACAGTATAAACAGATTTTTAGAAGATAATTTTTTTAAAAAGCCAAACCAACTGATTAAAATTATAACTCCACATTACTTTATGAAACCTACGATCAGCCAGCACTTCTGAAAGAACAAAATGTGAGAGATTCAAACCAACAGTGACTATGTTGCTGTAGTATGTTTTTGTTTTGTTTTGTTTTTCTAAGACAATCTCAGGCAATCTCAGCTCACTGCAACCTCCACCTCCCGGGTTCAGGTGATTCTCTTGCTTCAGCCACCTGGTAGCTGGGATTATAGGCATGAGCCACCATGCCCAGCTAATTTTTGTATTTTTAGTAGACGGGGTTCACCGTGTTTCCTAAACTCCTGACCTCAAGTGATCTGCCCGCCTTGGCCTCCCAGTGTTGGGATTACAGGCGTGAGCCACTGCGCCCGGCCGGTTCTAATAGTTACAGAAACATAATGAACATTGCAAAAGGGCTTCTTTTAAAATGGCAGCTAGAAGGGTCTTAAGTGGAACTCACCTCAATATGAAGACTGATTTTCTAATGAAGACAGGTTTGGCAGATTACTTGGGGCAATTAATTGCCCTTTAAAGAATTTGGATGCAGCTCTGTCGGAGGCTGTTCTGATAAGCAGTGAGCAGGTTAAGAAGTGCCACTGGTAGTCAAGGGATAATTCGTAATGAAGGAAAATTCCCAAGATGCCTGCCACCACTAGGGGCTTCCCTTGGTGATGGTGGGGATGGACTACTTTGTGGAAGAAGAGGAGTACTGAGATGCTACCACTTGGTTGTAGGTTTTTTACTATTATTCCAGAACCTCTGGCCCCTCCTCAAAATCCCATGGGAATCAGCTCTTCAAGCCAGGCAGGTTTGGAATTGCTAGACTAGCCTAAGGGTGTCCCAGAAAGCAAAGCAAACAGTAGGCAGAGAGGCCCATACAAGATGTACTAAGTGGCCCATGTCCTCAGGAAGCTTGTTGTCCAGGAAGGGAGAGCTCTGATCTAGAGGGTCACTACCCTAAAAACATCCCCTAGTTTGGACTAAGATGCTTTAGGCTACAGGGAAAAGGCAGCTATTTGCAGTATTTGAGTTTTCAGTTCTCTACTCCAGTGGTCTTTAAACCACTGGGTGCTCAGTAAAATCGCTTAAGAAGTTTAAACACACACTCTTTCTCCCGACAGTCCATCTTTGGAGAGTCTGCCTTTCTTTACCTTGGGGGACTGGGATGGGGACCAGAGTATTAGCAAGCTCTCCAGGTGAGGTACCCCTATTTTCCAAGCCTGCCCATAAACAGACCAGTACTTGCCTCAGACCTGTAGGTATCTGTCACATGGTCTTTTTTAGTCCTTTGTTCAACATCGGACACTGTTACCCTTCTGAGGATAGCTCTGTCTAGCCCACTGGGTGTGGGTTGTGTTCTTTCTCCACTGATTGGGGGAGGTACTTCACATAATCAAGTAAGTGAAATAGTAACATGGGGCAGCTGAGCCAGGGGAGGTGGTTTACATTGTGTACACATTTAGTGTCACAGAAGATTCTACAGCAGGAAAGCTGAAAAGTTGGAGAGAACTGCCCTCTGGTCAATCTTGGGATGCCCTGGACATTTCTGACTGGCTTCATTTTAACAGAAGCCAGCCTATCCCAGAGAATAGACTCACCTGAGTTTGGCAGGCCCTAAAAAAGCATTTCACCAAAATATTTCACTTTTAGTGTGGAGAAGTTCTGGAAGTGGATCTTTCTCGTGGGGAGTAGGAGAGCCAAAAACATCCTTAAAGAAAATGGCCTTAATGTTTCAAAAGATTGGGAGGACTGGGGGGAAGTAAGAAAACAGAGCTTGATACATGTGAAGAAATTAAATAACTCCTCATATCTTAGAGCAGATTGAATTTACATTTTACTTTAAAAAAGGGGGATGGGGGAAGTACATACACAAGGAGCAAAATGGGGTGAGGAACAATAAAGATCTGAAATGGATTTCTACAATTTTCCCCTACAATGATCGATTTTGTCTGTTGGGCAGTATTTTTCCTGCTGGCGTACAACTGCTTAAGGTATTAACAAAGTTGTAGACAAAGGAACCGCCAAAGTTTAGGCCCGGATGGAAAGGACAGTATGTTATCATATACAATTTTAGTTTACAATACACAGCATTTTCTTTAAATGATGTAACGCAGTCGCAAAAAGGAGTTAACAATACTAACACGAGAATAATCAAATTTTTGTTGTTATCCATGTGCAGCAACTAACTGCTTTACAAAAAAGCAAAATAATACAATATATCATCACATGTATTTACAGTGTAGTAAATATACTTTTTTGTCAAATTTTACACAAACTATTTACAGGTGAATATACTGCATTAAAAAAAAATTGTGTGGCTGACACTAAGAATGAATTTTTGCCTAAATCCATTGCATAACATTGAGTAAGACATGCCTCATTATGCCTGGGAGTCGGGGAAGGATGTAGAAACAAAACTGAAAAACAAAAACCCCAAACAACACTGAAAACCCCTAAAACCTACAAACCTGGGAGGGTTGCTGGCTGGCACTCTTGTCTCCCTGACTAGGACACAGGATAGAAGCTGACTGTTTAGGATGTGTCCTGGGCACCTGGCTCAGTCATGAACAGGTGTTGAGTGAATGGAAGATAGAGCTGTAGCCACTTTGCCCCAAATCTAGTGAATTGCATCTGCATCTTGGCAACTAAGGGCACGCCCCTCAGACGTGAGTACTGGCATAACAGGTAGATTATCCAGGACAAAAACATGACTGAGTTCCTGTTTTCCTCTTTAACAAGTCAGGGGAAACATCTACAAACCGAAACAAATTACTTACAATATTCTTAACAGAACTTACGTCAATTACACAAAAATGGGCAACTTGCTCTAAACTTCAGAATTTCTTTTATAGATTACAAGTATGAAGACTAAAAAAGTGTTGCATTTCTCACGGGACACATAGTGGTGAGAGGTTTATCTCATGTACATTTTAGTTACTTGGAAAGCTAGATTTTCCTCAAAAGTCAGAAGTTCTTTAAACAAGGTAAATTTTAAACCTTAGTAAGTTTTCAAATTCCTAGGATGTACTTACTAGTCAAAGGTATTTCTGCATTTCAAAAGCGGCTCAATTTTGATTTGTGCCAACGCTGATCATTTCAGGGGGTATGAAATACTATACCTTGGTAAACTTGTTTATGGAAATATTGATATTTTTAACAGTAAACCTCTGCAAATTTCTCTATTTTGATGGAAGAGCAAAATAGCATAACACCCACTATCATATGCACCAAACCAACAAACAAAAAAAAGAAAAACATGGAACTAAAGTTATCAAAGGCTTACACTGCCTGCTATTCTAGGGCCTAGAAACTGTGAAACTTACCCCAGAAACACTGGGTTGTGGGAGAGCCAAGACCATGATGGCAGCTTGGCATCCTTGGCACTGGGTTACTGATCTATTTCTAAACTCAGTTCTAATTTCAGCTTTTTTATATAGTCTTAGTTGCTCTGTCATTATAGACATTTTCTTCTAATGCAGCCTCTACAATAGTTTAAAAACAAAAGTTTAGTAAATTGCACCTGTCTTCAGTATTTCCAATAATTCTATGGTAAACTCACTAAGAACACTACGGTTTTCCTTCCTTTTATTTTGGCAAATAATTCTTACTTTTCCCAGGACTGTAAACAAATTAAAAAAATTAAATTCTTGTTATTTCTGAGTATCAAAAACAATTTTATTTACATTAACATATTACATTGTTACTGTGTGGATAAATGTGAAATGTATTATATTATTAAAATCAGAACACTTAAATGTACCATTATTTATTGAATTAGCTGTGGAATTTAATTTACTGAAACCCTCTAATGAAACAGCACTACAGGAAACTCCCCTCTCCCCTAGGTTTATTTTCCCTCCTCTCAAAGTCATTATATCTTAAGATATAAAGGGAACCTGGGAGTAGAGGGATTAATATCTTTTCGTAATAAATATGGTTTAGTTCTAAATTGGAACATCCAGATACCAATATGCTCACTGAAGTAAAATTATTTTGTATACTGCAGGTACCACAAAGAAATTGGATCTGCATTATTATGAAAATTCCAATGCCATGATAATCCATACCACCCGTATAGCAGCAACTCTAATGGCCCCCCTATTGTCATACTAATGCAGGCTGACCAGTCTTTTCACAGTGATTAAATGCAATTCTAGCATATATAACCTACATGTTTTCTTAAAGAGGTTTCTGATTTTTTTGGAGAGGAGGAGGAAGATTAAAAGACATTCAGAATACATCTTATCAAAGAAATTTATAATATACACCATACTCTATTCTTGGAAATTATTTAACAAAATAAAAATATCAGCTACCCTAAATGTCACGTACCATTCCATTTTGCTATGGAGCTAATGCAAATATCTATGAAAATTACCTTCTGGGAACAATTTTCAACTCTTTGTTCACTGATTACCCTGCTCAGAATTATTCAGGAAAGAAGAGGGGGAGGGAAAAATAGACATATATATATATATATATATATATATATATAAAATTACTATACTTAGTATAGTTTTGGTTTACAAAAAACAAAACACAAAAGACCACCTTTAGCAAAATTAAAAATTAAAAGATAATCAACTGGAGAAAAAGAATAAACTAGTTTGGATGACTGAGTTTGGGTAAGGACTTAGAAGCCATAGTTTTAATTCAGTAATGTTAAGATACATGTGGTCACACTTATTTTCCTGTAATTATTGCTAATACTCAAGTGTTAGTATTTCTTAAGAATCCACTATATGAAATTTCCCTGCCCTCCCCTGCCAAGTACCTTGTCTGTGGCTTTATGGTGTAAAGTCACTGAGGCTTGACCTTTATGGTTCTTTCAGTTTTGTAAGGTTAAAAAAAAAGTCCACAGCTAAAAGATTAAACATACTGGAGTTATAATACTATTTCTCTCATAAACTTGTATCTTGAAAAGTGTATAAATAGGACTAACACTTTACTCTGTAGGATGAAGAAGGGAAAACCACAGAAGGCAGAGCTCTGTGCAAATGGCTTTCATTGCTGGCCAGTAGTAGCAGTATTCAAGAATTTATCCTCTCTTACAATTGAGATGATCTCAGTTAAAGTTTCCTGACCTCCCACTTTCTTTGCAGTTGTTATGAACACTCACACATACCAGATACACGCCAAAAGTAGAAGAAAAAAAGTTAAAGAAAAGGCAGCATTAAATTTAGGCAATGCTTCCAAAAGTTGATCATCTGGCAACATGGCAAACTGGATAGGTTCATTATAAAACAGGAAGTGCAGCATTACAACATGGAGGGATGGGGCAAGGACAGGGAAGGGGTCACTAGTGAAGAGCCCATGTTAAGTTGACTTTAAAAAAGAAAGCAAGCAAGCTTCACACGATCTTCTTAATGCTATTACGTTTGAAACTGCCAGCGCTTCTTTGCTTCTGCACTTGGCTTGCGGATCCGTGGCGAGTTCGTCCACTGTTACAGTGGCCAGTGGTAGGGGAGAGTTCAACGTTCTCCTTGTCGATTCCTGGACAAAAACAGAATCGCCAGTTACTTCTTCTCTTCCTTCCAGGACTGAATTTCATTATAGTCATGTGTCACTTAACAACGGGGACACATTCTAGGAAACGATCATTAGGCGATTTTGCCTGTGCAAATATTGTGGAGCGTACTTACATGAACTTAGATGGCATAGTCTACTATACACCAAGGCTATACGGTATAGCCTATTTCTCCCAGGCTACAAACCTGTACAGCAGGTTACCATATTGTGTACTGTATGTGGTTGTAACACACTGCTAAGTATTTGTATATCTAACATAGAAAAGGTACAGTAAAAATACAGTATTATAATCTTTCAGGACCACTGTCTATATGTGTTCTGTTGTTGACTGCAATGTTGTTATGCAGCACATGACTATATTTGTGATAAGATACAACCTGGCAAATTGTTTTTGCACATTTCATTTTAATAGTCAATTGCTAGAATGTTTAAGTTAATGTCACATGGAAAACTTCACATTTTGTTAGGCAAAGTTTGCTATCACAGCAGAAAATAGCACAAGAAAAATGAAAAGAGAAGTTGCAAGGAAAAGCTAGAGGCAGGCAGGCTTGAACTAAATGAAAGGCTAGCAGCCACCAGGAAGACTAGTGCTCTTTCCTCCAAATCATACCAGAAACTTCCAGCAGAGGTCAGCTTCTAGCCTTATTCATATCCTCATTCATGTTTATAAACAGAATATACTCTCCAGCAGCAGAAAGTACTGATCTTTCCAGCAAATTTGTCTCTTCAAAGAAAACTCAGATGCTTTTTATTTTTTAAATCACAGTGCTTGTCCCAAAGAAACTATTTACTGAGAAACTAATATATCACAAAGGTCATACTGTAGAATCTTTGCTTCTTTTCAGCTATGGCAAGTCATTTCACATTCTGCAACCTTAAACAGATGCCATTTATTTCTCTTGAGGAGGAGATTAAAACTCCAAAAGCTGGGCCTAACAATGATTATTTATTTATTTATTTAGAGACAGGGTCTTGCCCTGTTGCACAGGCTGCAGTGCAGTGGTGTGATCACAGCTCACTATAACCTTAACTTCTGGGCTCAAGCCATCCTCTCGCCTCAGCCTCCCAAACAGCTAGGACTACAGGTGCATGCCACCATGCCCAGCTAATTTTAAAATTTTGTCTAGAGATAGGGTCTCATTATGTTGCCAAGGCTGGTCTTGAACTCCTGGTCTCAAGCAATCCTTCCATCTTGGCCTCTCAAAGTGCTGGGATTACAGGCATGAGCCACTGCACCCCATCCCAATTAATTTTATAAATAATCTAAGCAGTAACTTCAGAAAAGTAACCAGAAACTAAAATAAGATATTTATTTTTACCTATCACATTAGGAAAGATTACAAATTGGGTAACAGGACTGTGGTCACCCTTGCGGAAGTAGTGACTTAAGGGGGCATGAGGATGGCTTCTTGGGGTGCTGGTAATGTTTTGTTTCTTGATGTAGATGATGGATTTTCAAGTGTGTTTACATTTTAAAAGTTCATTAAACTGTAAACTTGCAATTTGTAAACTTTTCTGTTACTCATCAATAAAATGTACCCCCAAAATTAGACTGATTATACCTACTTCTGGCATAACTTTTGGTGGGAGAGCAAACAGCTGCAGAACGTTTTAGTAATTTGTATCAAAATGTACATTACTGATTGATATTTACTGATACAAAAAGATGACCACAATTTTTGGAGTAGGAAAAAAACACCCACACACTGTGGGGAGAGGGGGTAGGGCTGGGTAAACATCTGCCAAAATATTTTATCTCTGTTAGAAGCCAAAGGACTAAAAAATACATTTTACCTCTGTATGGCAAAATTTCAGGTAATTTCTACTTTATTCTTCTTTATATATTGAAATTTTAAATCTTAGAATGGAAAAATTTCCATTTTTGGACAAAAAGTACTATTTCAAGTCAAGAAGTATTCATTATGTTACACAAAATGTACATAGATCTACCCAGTTAGTTATCGGTTGGCTTATGAACAGGAAATGAACTTGGGATGACCTCCCTCTAGGAGCCACTCATCTTTCATTTGGATTCAGGTCAAGAGTATCAGGCATCTATAAGCACATGGCCTGGTTTACACGGGCTCAACAGGATTTGCTGTCTTGAAAATCTGAAAGGCTGTCAAAGGAACATGGGCATTTGTCAGTGACTGTTTATGAACATGTGCACTGCATCAGGCATATGAGTGCAACGAAAAACATTAGCGACATATCTCCAGGAAGTGAGCATAGCTGAACTGCCACTGAAAATCTATTCTATTAAAATCTTTAAAAAAAACCCTTATTAAATTTTTTAAGGCTAGTCATGTTCTAATCTAATCTAACCTAATATGCATAGAAAGATGACTAGCAACATTCATGAACTTTTCTCTGGGTAACAGAATTCTGGTCAATTTAAATTCTCTTCTATATATTTATTCGTATCCTCTCCAGAGCTATTTACAAAAGAAATAACAAAATTGAAAGAAAGCTGCTCATGATCTCTGGAATGTGCCTTGAACAACTTTGGGATGTATGTTTGTGCAGGTTCTTTTAATTGTCTTGCCTATCTCTACAAGATAAAATTCAACCCATATTTTCTCTCATCTCCTTTTCCTTCATGATGCATTATTCTGTCTCTTGCCAGAACTACTTTCTCTTTCCTTGCTTTTAAATTAACTTGCCTATGATTCCCCAACTTGTACATCCATCTTATTTCCTCTACTAAGTAAAAGCACCTAGAAGGGTAAATAAAGATCATTATTATTCATTTTTGTTTTCCTGTAAAATCTAGTTATTTTTTCAATACACTGAAAAATTATTTTCAATTAATACTGAATGAACGGAATGCTTCCATTTTAAAATGTGATAGCTAGATCCCTGTAATTCAGAGCCCCAAAGCATGCAATCCCTGATCTCCAGGGAGTAGTATAATATTTTTAGTTGAAAAGATAGAACTTTTTTTTCCCCTTTGGCATCCTCCATTTAAAATTATGAATTTATCAGCGTATTTGACCTTCCATTTCCTTAAATTTGCATTTGGCCTACAAGTTTCAAGTCCAGTAATTCTGAATTGTTTAACAGGAAATAAGATTCAGGCAAAACTAGGACCTTAAAAAGACAAAGGTTTGAAACTACTTGGAGCTGGCCCGCATGCAGGACAGGCATGAAGCAAGGATGACCACTAGGAAGGCCCTGTGGCTCTCTGCCAGCAATCTGCTACCCTGGGGCTTGTTCTTGTGTGTCTTGCTACTACTAGACCATGGCCTACTCTGAGGGGAAAACAGTCATGACATGCGTGGCAATGCTTCTGTTTGGGCACAGTGTTATTCTTGAGAATTAAAATTACATAAATTGTAGTAATGTAGATGAAGTCACTAGGGTGAAGATATCTTCCCAGAAGTGCTAAGAACATTCCACTTTCTGTTTTGTGAAGCAAACAACGGTCAAACCTCAAATAGTTTTAAAGGCCTTATTTATCTCCTGTTAAATGTTGAGGGTACAAAACAAGCTATAAAGTTGTTCACATACTATGACCTCAAGTATACAAAGAAAATAAACTGGAAGGAAATGCACCAAAATGTTAATAAACAGTGGTTATCTATCTTAGAATGACAGGATGGTAGGTAACCTTTTCCTTTTATTTTTCTGAATTTTCTAATTTTTTCCTAATGAGCACATTAATTAAAAATGTAAAAGTACGAGTGACTTGTCAGCCCTGTCCCTCATAACCAAAAGCTTCAACACTATGTCAAAAGTTGATATTCTACTTCTATTCTCAAATTCATTTTTCATCTAAATTCTTGTTTTTGGAATGTGTGTTTTCTTCCTACTTAGTGACCCAACTGTATAAATCATACGTAGGTAAATGTGGTGTGACTGTGATTCCTAAGTTCAGCTTCACAGCAAAGATGTTTTACTGTAAGGATCAAAGGAGAAACTAACAAAAATCTTGGACAGTCACTTAAAAAAACAATTAAAATGCATTATATTTACACCAAAATATATCTTGAAAAAGCCAAGGTAGTATGAAACAGAATGATCATAGTATCTAGTTCTGGCATTTAAATTTCTAAGCATAATTCTCACTTGTAAGAATTTTGGCAGCATTCTTTCTTTTTATCCCCTAAAATTACATCTAGAAATCTCTCTAGAAGCTGGTGAAGGATTTCGCTTCAAAATCCCATAGGAAAAATTCTCAGATTATCTGACAGACCGCTCCAGTGCAGACGGAACACATCCTGCACTGGTATATGCTGTATTTTAAGTTGGTGAGAAGGCCTTGGTGCTGCACTTCTTTTCATCAAAGGCCCTTTAAAGTTTTGTATTCTAGTCTCTATTTTGCCCCTAAAGCATTGGCTCTCCCTTCTGGCCTTTGGTGGACACGAACAGAAAAAACTACGAAGTGGCTGACAGAAACCCAGAGGCTACCACACAAAGGAAATAAAGCTAAACTTCTGTGGTCCTGATTTGCTAACTTAAATGACCCCACAGACACACTGTGGTCAAACATGCAGCCAGTTATAAACATGCAGAGCAGAAACAGCTGGACATTCTGCACAGCAGTGTATCAGTAGTACTATGTTTCAATAAATTGTGGTGGTTCCAGATAAAGACAAAATCCTCAATAGAAGGTGTTATTGACCAAAATTTAGTGAATTTGAGTAGTTGGGGAAAAGCATTAGATTACATTATTGTTATTTAAGTTATATGTCTATCTTCCCTGCTAGAACATGAATTCCTTGAAGGCAGGTACCAAGGTTTGTGTATTTTTACAACTAGTGATGTAGCTCCAGCCTGACAATTTTGTAGTCATCCATTTTTAAAAAACACTTCTGGTTTCCAAAACTGAAATAATCAGTTATAATAGTATCATGAAACAATAAAAGAACAGAATCACTTTTAACTCTTGAAAAGTTAAGGAAAAACGGGTTAGGTAATTTGTGAGAAGTTATACTACAAAAATGACAGACTAATAATAACTG